GAAGATGGGTTTCAGAGGTATTCTGCAAAGATGACCCCCTTCCCCCTTCCCCGTTGCCTTTAACATGGGGGTTGCCCCCTTAGCCAGCGTTATTTTCATTAAGACAAATTCCACTATGGTAGTGCTTATGGCATTGAGCTGCTGCCATGGGCGGCTGGAAAAGAAAATGGAGAAAAGAATATACAATATATTCCCCCATAAGAATATTTTCTTCCACAAGTATTTGGTTTATGGTGGCCCCTCCCTCCCACCCCAGCGGTGTATGGAATATGTTTGGTTTTCCTGAATAGATTGAAGTGCTCGCCTGGCAACCGCGATGAGGCAGCCGCCATCGCCAAAGGCGTGAAATGGGTCACACCAGAGCCGAGGCGCCTACCCCAAGAAGGTGGCGAAAAAAAAGTGGAAGAGGGTACGGCGTCCCGGGTTCCAGCGCTGTAGTAAGCGATCTCCGTACTAACGAGGCCTGTGGCCGCTTAACTTCACAAATCGGACGGGATATGTTGCATTCGGCCAAGCATGGTCGTACCCAACATCCCCGCAAAAGAACGCATTTTGTTCCTCGCGGTGTCCCCGGGGCGCCCCTCCCAGCCCCACCGGCGCCAGGGGTGAATTTTCAGTTTTGCGAGTGCCGTGCGTTTCCCGCCCCCGTGCTCTACTGGGTCTCTTCGCGGTGGTATTAGGGCACATTTTCGCACACAAGCTAACCCTTGTAGGTGTTGGGTTGTTCCGTTGTTTTGGCTTGTGCCGGCCTGCTGGCGTCGCCGCCGCCGTCTGTCACAACTTTGGTTGGCTTCTGGCGCCGGGGTGGGGTGGCGGTTTTCTGGCCGAAGCAGGCAGCCCCTACAATAGTTGCGCCTCTGCTATTTTGTTGTTCTATTGGTTCTTATTCGTCTTTTGGTCGTTCGTAGCTTCTGTGTCGTTGTGCTACTCTTCCTTGGTGGAGTTGGGAGGTTTCCCGGGTCCTCCCGGACTTGTCCGTGTGACGGGGCCGGGCTCCCACCCCCATATTTTTGGGGAGTGTCGGACGCGCCGGCCGGGGGTTTGCCGTTGTGATTTGTGCTTTCTACGTGTGCTGCGGGTGGTTGCGCTTTTGTTTGCGGCGCCGCGCGTTGCGCTCCGGCTGTGGGTCTCTGACTCCCGTGGGGTGGGGTGGAAGGAGATATATGTGATCATACCCTCCTAATATTCATCGTGGTGTGATTCCTTTTTTTAATTTTTGGGGATGCCGGGGGGTAAGAGGCGAACCGGCATTGCGAGGGAAAAATAAAATAATAGTAATAAGAATAAATAAAAAGGCAATAGATGTGTGAGAGTAATTGTGTGTTGATTGTGTTTGTAAAGATTGACATGGTTCAGTAGAAAAACAAATTAAAAACAAATGATAATTGACAGCGTTGCGTGAAATCTCAATATACAAAGTTTACTATAAAAAAAGCAAAACAAAAAAAACAAAGCATCTCACCTGGATTTTATACACATGTACAGGCTGCGTGGTTTGGTTTGTTTACATGTAATTCAAATCAATTCTCTTTTCTTATACATCATATTTCCTCATTTAACTTGATATTTGAAAGGAAAGGTAATTTTCGAAATCTCTTTCAGTTAACACCGCTGCTGCCTATGAGGGGTGAATGGTGAAAAGAAGCATTTGCCACCAGTGTAGAATACAAAAATTAATTTTAAAAAATCACGAGAAGCGGGTTAGCGGGAATATATTTCTAGTTGAGATATCTCTTACATGCGTTTTTCTTCGGAAGGTGTGCCAGATCAAAGTGTGCACTACTCGGGTCCAGACAGGGATCTCGCAACTCTTTAAAATTCTTTTGCCGTCTCTCTTCCTCCAGTCGCAGTTGTTCTCCCAGTCTCTGTTGCTGTCACGATGTGCTTTTCATGTTACTTACCATTATGCCCAACATGTGGTGAATATCAGCCGCCCCTTCTCTTTTTATCGTCTTGCGTTTTTTGTACCATCTCTCTGTCCACTTTTTCCACAAGAGAGTAACATAGGAAGCCATAGCAGATCCCTTGCAGAGTTGACTATTCAAAATATGTTTTGTGCGTAAATTGGTTGCCGCTCTCTGAAACAAAAGGCGTGTAGCTCTTCTATTTCTCCTTTCCTCCTCCGATCGTAAATGTCGAATAACTGAAGCCATCCATGGTGCCATTGGTTGTCCACTTTGCGAAGGCTTTGCGGTTTTTGCGTATGGTAGGATATTATAGTTGAAAAATCTATCAAAAGAATTTCCTCGTAGGCGTGAGGCTGCCCAACGGATTTTATTCCGCACTTCATTCCTAGCCTCTTCAAGTGCTCCTTTAAAAACATAGTGGTAGACTATTGGAGCCATATTCTCAATACCCTCTGGTTTTTCACGGTGTCTGATTGCTTTTAAATGCTCCAAAATATTTCCTTTAAATTTCTTGGGGCTAATGGCAGGACTTTGACTGTATTGTGGATACACTCCCAGCGACTGGTGATCAAAGCGGTTTGCAAAAGCAGTATTGCCATAAGGGTTTGTGCCCTTGAGCACGTTCATATGCATTTGTCTCCATCTTTTATCTAACCCCACTTCATCCCCAAATCCAAATCCAAATCCTCCACCACCACTTGGAGACATACTTTCATTATCGTCCCCAAGATCTTCGTTTCCAGGCCTTTTCCAAGTACCATAGTTAACACCACCCTCATCTGAATAAACATAATTGCCTGTTAATGTATCTCCTTCCAAAAATTGCGAAGTATGTGTATAATCGCTTAATGCTGTTCCAGTCATGGGATCATTATTCTTGTTGTTTGTTTATTCCTTTCCTTCTCTTAGTGTGTGCTTGGGCAGTGCCGCTGGCGTCTTTTCATCCATTGCACCACCCCCAGTAACATGATGAGTGTTGGTTGATGGAATTGACTCGGCAGTTTTCTTTCCTACTCCTCCTCCTCTTTCTTCTCCTAATGAATTCACTTGTCGGAAAAAGGATGCAACTCCACGTTGCCCATCTGGTGATTTCTCTGATTGCCCACGGTATAACAAAGGACGCCCAGGATCACGTGGAGCTTCATCATGTTTATCCATCTCCATTTCCTTATTGCTCTCCTTTTCCTTATTTATTTCCTCTTTTACCTCTTCTCCCATTTTTTTGTTTTTCTCCTTCTTTTTTTCTTTCGATTCTACATCCTCATTCTCATGTTTGTCGTGATTTTTAAGAATGGCTGCAGCTATTTGTTCTCTAGATGGGTTAACAATGATATCATAGAGTTGATTCTGCGTCCATTCCCAATCTGTTAAGCTAGATGGGGGACCCGGGAATTGCTGAAGGACAATACCTTGTTCCCTAAGTCGATCAAAAACAGTTTGTCGCACCATATCATTCACCACATCTGCTGCAATCTGTGAGGCTATTACTTTACTTTCTTCAGTAATAGAGTATTGTATTTTATCACTTTGCTCATGCAAAACATGAAAACCTTCTTGTGACATACGAAATAGTTCATTTATTTCACTCCGTATAGTATGATGATCATTTCTGAGTTTCATTATTTCATCTTTTACAACAAAAAGTCTTCCACGAAATCTTGACTTTTCCATCATTTGAGAGTCTGCTGCAGTTAATGCATCTCCGGAAACTATTTTCCCCAATTTTTGCTTATCACTTGAACTTAAAATGCTGCCATGTGAAAGGGTTAGGGAACCCTCGAGGACTCCCACTCTTTCCGTCTTGCCCCATAAGAATATTTAATTTCATGTTACCCCTTCCCTACCCCAACAAAGTATTGAATATGTTTGGATTCCCTGAATGGATTGAATTCCGTGAGCTGGTCCGCCGCATGGCCTTGAATCGGAATTGGAAGTGGTCAACCATTTGCAAAGTGATGGCCCTCATCAGCGGAGCACTCCTGAACCTACCACTTTACTCCAACCAAAGCAAAGGAATCGACATTTCAAAGGACCCCAGCTGGCGAGCAGCAACGCGGGCAGCGCACAAGTTCGAAAACCGCGAACCGACCAACCCACCAGCACCGGTGACATACGAACAGATGAAGAAAGCACACGCAGCACTCGAGAGAGAGTGCCCAATCGCAGCGCTATACCTGATGATGATGTGGTGCTGTGCGGCGCGGGCGGGCGACATCGCAACTCTTCTCAAAAAAGATGTAAGAGTCGAACAGACGACGGAGTCGGACAGCTTAACGGACCTCACGATGACCATACGGTACGGCAAAGGAGCCCACTTTCGCGGACCATACCCAGTGGCGACGATATTGCCCAGGAAGGACGCGTCGGTTCTGCAACAAGTGTTGAACGACCGTCTTCGGAAGCAGCGGCTGTTTCCGGACGCCAAGGCACTTCGGGACAGGGTGCTCCAGGCACTGCGGAACGAGAACGTACTCTCCTCCCTCCCGTCAGTACGGAAAGGGTCGGCGAGACACATGGCAGCGCAGGGGGTGCCGGAGGAACAAATCATGCGCTTGACGGGGCACACTCGCCTCGAGACATTGCAGCGGTACCTGGGTTATGGCCACCAACTAACGCGGGAGGCAGAACTCGCACGGGACAGCGTCGCCCAAGCCCTCCGCGAGCCGAGTTCCTAGGCAATAAGGCTCCGAATGCTCGCGAACTTGGCCTCAACGACGTCACGTTGTACGCAGAGATACTGCGAGCACAAGGAAAGGAATTGCCGCCCCATGTGGTTGATTCAATCAACGGAACTATCCAAGACACTGCGGTTTGGCCACTCCATTTGAAGGACACCACGCCACTCAACATCGAGGCCGTCCGCAGAATGCCCACAGCGCATACAACCACCAAAGACTTCCTGGAGAAAGCACTGCGTTTCATGACGGCCAACCTTTTTGACGGCCTGCTCACATCTCGCACCATAAAGAAGGCACAGCTCTCGATGACAGACACGCGGAGGGCAGTCGAGATGGGTAAGTTTGAACTCGTCCCGAACGTTGTTGTTGCCCCACACTGCTCTTTTCCACTGGACGCAACCGCGCAGCTACAGGCGGAGTGCAGGGATTCTTCGCCCATCGACCACAATGGCATCAGCATAACCGCACAAACTCATACGACACCCAGCCATCGTGACGACGCTCACCCAGAACATCGCAAGAATGGTCGTCTCCCGGTGGGTTTCCACGGAGTGAATGTGTTTACGGTCGCAGAGATGAAAGGACGACGACGCCTCATCACCGAGCCCCACCTCAACGGCGTGATCTCAAAGGCGGAGATACCACGGTGTGAGTACCCGTCTCGTCTTGAAAGGCGGCAGAAGCTGCGCTACGCACGGTACATGCTTCAGATTGATTTTGAGGCGTTTTACGATTCCATTCCATTGATGGAGGAAGGGCTGCGCAACAAGTTCGTATTTCGGGCGCGAGATGGCGCACTCTACCGACTTCGCACGCTACCGACCGGAGCGAGATGGAGCGTCGCGGTTGGACAGGCTGTGGCGTGGACAATCGTCGACGTTGACACGCGGTGTACCATCCTCACAATGATCGACAATATCCTGATTGCTGCGCCCGCTGGAGAAGAGGTGGAATTTGTGAGGACGGTGCGGCAGATCGTGGACCGTATGGAGATTGCAAACCTATGCACGTCCCCCAGTCGTGCAGAACTACGTTCGTGGACAGACAGCGTGATGTTGGCAGAAGCTACCAAGACAACTGTTTTCCTTGGTGAGGAGTTTACTTGGTTGGAGGGTGAGCGAAAGGTGCGAAACTCGATTAAGACGGTGTCGAAACTGAAGCTGGGCCTGGTGCGACAACCGCACCGGAGTTTTACATGCAGAGAATTTGCCTCCAACGTGTCCCTCATTCTTTATGCTTTGCATACCACAAGGTTGAACCCTGCTTCGGCGTTTAACCTGTTGCGCGCGTACCGCGGCGTATACCGTCAGGTGGACCGTGGACGAGGTTGGGACGAGCCAATTCCCTACCTGGACCCTGGCGTCCGTCATACGATGATGACGCTAGCTGCAAAACTGGTGCAGAACCCATACTGGACCATCGCGGAAGAGGTGACCGCCACTTACAATGAGGACGACTATAACGTCATTTGCTTCACCGACGCTTCCGCCGATGGGTGGGGTGCGATAGTGGTGACGAATACACCCACGCCACCCCGATCAGAAAACAAAACGGACGACACATGGACACCGCACACCGCCATCTACCAGCAGAGGTGGATCCATGATCTCAACCCGCCACCGCCACAGCGGACACACCTCGGGCATCAAGGAGGGGCACGGCAAGCTCCACATAGCAGCGACACGTTTAACGCACGCCACTCGGCACATGCGGAACCACGGGCGATCCATCTCCTGTTGCAGCACCTCGAACGCCAGGGGGTGATAGTTCCTGGTGCATCTTTCGCCCATAATGAAACCGTCGCCAACGACGAGACGCGAAACGCTGACACCGACTTAACGGTACATGGCCCAAGGCGGCGGCCATTTCGAGTGGCGGTTGTGACCGACCACTTTCCCATTGCACACGCGCAGAGGCGGCTCAACGGCTTTGGTGGCATCGGTCGGGGCTACGCGCTGAACAGACTCTTCAAATACACGAATGATCTCTTCCACAGGAAGGCGGTGCAGGTGGTCTTCTTTTATATCGCCGGCCCCCGCAATCCGGCGGACCACTGCTCCCGCAACTTTGGGGTAGACGACGGAACCGCGTCAATCTCTTCGCATCCAGCAAACGACTGTCTTGTTCCACTCTTACGAACCACCTTTGGACCGATCTGCAAAGGACAAAGTGAAGCAGAGAAACCTATTGTCATTGTGGAAGGCAATGTGGATATGTAATGCCGCAATAAATAAGGCATAAGGGCTAATCGCAAACTATGGGGGGCTTTTGTTCCACACCCCGAAAGCCGAAGGACGAGCCATAGTAAGCGAAAAATATATCTTATTTTCCCGTTGATAATGTGTTGATGTTCGGTGGTTTTCGGCAAACGGTTGCGGGTGGGCTTTCCCAGGAGCGTGGCTCATGGGAACAAGAGTGTCAGAAGAGAATTGTTTTGGTGTTATAGGGTGATGTGAATTTTGAGGGTGAAA